GACAGCGTCGCAGGAGATGGTCGGCACCACTGTCATCGACGAAAATATGAATCAACAAAATCAACTGGGCTCCCTTTTGTCGATACATTCGGCGCCCGTCTTTGATTTGAGCACAGGTGTACCCTCGCCAAAAAGGCCAGCCTCGTTGGCCGTCCAGGCAACAGCAACTTCAACACCGATCGTGCCACCGCATCTTCAGAGTCCAGAGACGATCGAGGACGAGGATAACGATAATCTCCTGACCATATCGAGTCTCACGGCCAGGCCATTGATTGCCAAGTCTCATGAACTTCGATCGAGCATAACTTCTAGTACCAAGAAGAAAAAACCTAAGTGCGAAACGAAAAAATCGAGAAATATCAAGTATGTTCCATTAGATGGTGGTTATGGCTGGGTGATCGTTTGCGGAGCATTTTTCGTTCAGTTCTGGGTGACTGGACTGATGAAATCTTATGGGGTGCTGTACGTTGAGGTGATGGAAACGTTCAAGGATTCCACAGCTTCGGTCGCTTCTTGGATACCCGCTATCTTGTCTTGTCTTTGTCTCGCGCTTGGTAAGTATTTGCCAAGATGTTTTAGTGAAAAGTAGGCTTTTTAGAAATCTAATCAATATTTTAATAAAATAATAATACTAAAAATGTGACACAACTCTAAACAAATTATTCAGGGAAAACGAGAAACTATTTGAAAACTTATAAAAAATTATTTACTAAACACATAATGTTAAAGTAAAGAATAAACACTAGAATGATAGATAGATAGATGATCAAATATTATTTTTGTAATTTTCCATTCTTAACTTTCTTGAGATCGTTTTTTAACGATTTTGATGCTCATCTAACACAGGATTGAATTATTTTGAGTTGTGACACTTTTGAAATACATGTGCGACTATGACAATGTGAAGAGATTGTGCTATTATCCTAAATATTAATATGTGAATAATCCAAATACAGCTCCAGTGACGAGCATGCTGTGCCAGAAGTATAGTTGTCGGGCTGTCGTTTTCATCGGTGGATTGTTCTGTGCTTTAGGATTAACGATAAGTTACTTTGCAACAAAGTTGATACATCTCTTTTTTACATTTGGAGTTCTGACAGGTTCGTGGGTAATCGATTTTATCAAATTTCTTCGCCGTGCGTTCGTCTCAATATATGTATGTGTATGTATATAATCAGGTTTCGTCATTGGGTTACGTAAGAAAATGCGGATAGCATGCTTGAAAGAAAGAAAGCAAGAATATGATACGAACGAACAACTGGACAATACAATTAATACAATTATAAACATCTAAATATTTGTACAATGACAATATTTATTATCATATCAATTAATATAACAATTTTAGGCATTGGCAGCGGTCTGTCGACAACACCAGGTATCATTCTCGTCTCACAATACTTCGACAAGCATCGAGCACTAGCAAATGGAATATGCGTATCTGGTACAGCAGCTGGCAGTTTCGTGTTTCCGCTTTTGATCAAGGTTCTCGTGGATAATTTTGGTTTCCACGGTACCATCCTTTTACTTGGTGGTTGTATGCTTCACGTGTGTGTCAGCGCAACCCTATACCGGCCACTGGAGAACAATTACGCGCCAGAAGACACAGAGATGCCGGAAAAAGCGGAAAAGGTCGAGAGCACAGCAAAGGAATTAGAGACAGCAAAACAACAGAAGTTAGATTTAATATTCGCCAATGATTCGACTACGAAACATAATCTGTTGAACGAATTATTTCATCAGAACGGTGTAGTGGCGGTCGAGCTGACAGACAGTGACGAGGAGAAAGACGTTGTGGGCGAGTGTCTACAGATGAAACCGATCTCGAAGATACGTAGCTCGAGTATATTACACAGTGTCGAAGATCTATCGACCGATTCTACGTGCGTTTACAAGGCAAGGTCGTCGTTAAAGTCGCTGAAGTCGTCAGTCACGGCGGTATATCCAGTTCCTCAGAACGAGTCACAACTGCCAAAGGAAAAGAAGACAGTGATGCAAAGGATAGCGCAATACATCGATCTGTCTCTATTGAAAAATCCTCAATTCATGATGATGTGTTTGTCCGTTAGTCTTATGTCAACCGGAAGTCCGTATATGCTGTACTATCTTCCGGCATACGTACACGCTGCTGGTTATACGAAATCGGAAGCTGGATACCTGGTCGCTATTTCCGCTGCGCTTGATTTATGCGGAAGATTAGGACTTGGATGGCTTTCGGATTTGAAACTTTTTGATCGGCGGAAAGGATACATTGGAAGGTACGTTCGAGAAATTTTTATACTGCGTCCACAAAATGCATTTGCATAGATCCTTATTTTCCAATAAAATATATTTTTTTATCAGATTCTACGTTTCATTTTCATAATATTGAATTTTTATAGTCATACGGGAGTATTACTAAATGATGTGAAATTTAATACGCTTGAACCTAATTTAATGTGTACATGCTATAGGAAATATAGGTGTGCAAATCATTTTTGTATATAATCCTTATTTTTGTATTATTGAACTTTACTATTTAATAAAAATTTTCTTCTTAAACAGTGTCGTAGGTGCTGGTGTAGCTGTACTGGCAATTCCAATGGCCCATTCTTTCTACGTGTTAGCATGTTCTGTAGGCATGTATGGACTATGCTTAGGCTGTTGGTTCCTCTTGGTTCCCGTCCTTCTCGCAGACCAATACGGAACTGATAAAATATCCTCTACTTATGGTCTTGTCAGGATGTTCCAGAGCGTTGGAGCTATTTCTATTCCGCCTTTAGCAGGTATGAAATTATTTGAATTTTAATACAGTACAGCGTTTAAAATAAATATTAATTGTAATTAATGAACTTAAAAGTACTCGATTCTTTGTAGTAGTCGCAGAGATATCGTCTTGCTTAAATAAACAAATAACCAGTGTTATTTATGTTAATGTTTTCATGTTATATTGCAGGTTACCTGCGCGATGTAACAGGGAGTTACTCCGTATGTTTTCTATGCATGGGTACGTGCATGGTCATGGGAGGTCTACCTTTACTCCTGGTTTTTAACGAAGTATCGGAATCATCGAAGATGACTGTTAATAATGAGAACAGTAACTGTCAAGGAGAGGTGGTTGCAAAAGAATAAAAATATTTTGCGAATGTGATTGAATGTGTATTAGAAATCTAATAAATCACAACATTTGTCGCTACAATTATTCTACTATGATGTATTGCTTCGTTCAGTGTATTCGAAACGTTTACATAAAATACCTCGTTCGCGGCAGGTAAGGGTAATTTTTATAAGTTTTTCTATAAATGCACATGTCTCATTTTGTTTTATTGGTAAACGACACTCTCATTTACACATTTACGTTTAAAAATAAAAAGAAATAACATAGGACAAAAACGTTCTTATACATATTAGATTTATATACAATGTAAAGAACTACTTTTAAAAAACAGAATCTGGTTTCCAGTTGTAATTTGTCTTATATATTACACATAAACACTATGTACATTATTCATATTTACATGTTACATTATGATTATTTGTAGAAAATGAAGAATTGCGGCAGGTCCTACGATGAAAGAAACAATCTCTTAGTAGGAAATACATATTTTTCATACAAACAGATGTAATTAAACACAATGATCTTTAATAAAAATTGTATTCTTTTCACTTATGTAGTCTTAATTTGTCTACTTTCGAAGATAATGTACAAATTAATGCTCAAAAAACTTTATAAATCTCAAAATTACCATAAATTAATTCATGCTAATTAATGCTATTAATTCAAGCATAACATTATGTAATACTATCTTAATTTTCCTTGATGCAATGAATAGATAGCATTTCAAATATAGTCCAGCATCTATATAAAATGATTACCTTCTACTAAAAATGGACACTAGTATTTCTTATAATACAAAATATGATACAATAGAAAAAAATTATGTCGGTTTCCAGGCTACAACTCTCATTTTATTATTTAATTCTTGTAGTATCAAAGAGCATGTGAGCTGTTTCTCTGGTGATAGACCATTGATTCCTTCCATTTCATCATCATCATCTCCTATTCCATTACTGCTTCCACTTTTCCCTTTACCTTTTACCTTTCGTTTCTTCTTCTTGTTTAACTGTCTACAGTCTATGTCACTAGCAGCATCTGTTGCTTTTCTGATCTATAATGATTGAATTTTTTTACACAAATTATTCATTTCAAAATATATATTTATATATAGAATATTAAAGAATATCTTACTTTTGCACTCTTTTTTGATTGTTTATCGTATTCTAAAGCATCATAATAATTTGGTTTCTCACGCTTGATTCGATTGGTTCGTCTTGTTTTCATTACTCCATTATCAGGACTAGGAGGACTTTTTATTGAATTTCGTCTTGCATTAAAGAATGAATGACCACATGGACAAGCTTTGCAAGCTACAGGTACCTTAATAAACAAATACATATAATTAATATAAAGTGATATAAATAAGTTATCAATTGTATACATATATAATTGAATAAATATATAAAATTTGTTTGCACTCAAAATTAAAATTCAATATTTTTTCTTATACACGTATAAAAAAATTAACTATTCAAAGCTTACATTAAAATATACAATGAAATAATTAATTATATAGTAGATAGTAGAAAAATTTATGACAAAATAATCTTATTTCCGTTTTACTGAAGTTTTCCCAGTTCATTTAAAAAGTCTTAGTATAATAAATAAATAAAGGTACAAAAAATATTCAAAATAAAATTAATATATATATGTATATAACTGTTTGGTATAAATATAAAATAATTATTATAATATAAAATTACCTGCTGTTCACATTTTGGGCAGCCTTTACTGATTGTTTTAGTCTTGGCCATATTACGGAAAAATATTTAATAAGGATAAGGTTATTTACAATTAAAAAATATGACTAGATAACTATATCGTTAAACCATGTCGTTGAATATTGACATCATAGCACGAAAATAGCTTTTATATCGATGAGAATGCATTTTAAGAGCGTTCACTATAACGTTAAGTATTTTTTTTTTACATTTAACATAACGCTAATAAGTAATGACAGCCGTAATGTATAAAAGGAACACAATGTAAAATGATTCGTACTTCAATTGATAGATGGCAGTGAAAGTCAATTACGAGAATGGACCAATCGCAGAATTCATGCTATTTCACATTGTGAAAATGTATTTCCAGTTTTCAGCTTAGTAAGTATTTAAGCTTTGTGATAACACGATACTTGTGCATAGTCTTTCTACTCTTTCTCTTCATTACAATTTTGTTATTGTTTTCTCAGATGCAGATGTTATTATACTTAATCATATTTTAATGAATGAATGTACGAAATATGAACATACTTAAATAAGTACACATCGAAAATTTCTATATGTAATATGTATGTTTTACATACGTAAATATACGATATGTAAATTATTTACGTATCTCTAATATTATCAATGTTCATAAAATTTATTTTTAATATTTATTTAAGGTGGCTTACATTATTAATAATATAGGTAGTTAATTGTTAGTATCAGATCTAAGTTTATTGTCATTTTAGCATTATGTATTTACATAAACTAATTGATATCTATTCTATATTAATAAAATAAACCTAAAAATCCTATCTTTTTAAATTGTATTCGATTATGGCATTCTTAATTGCTCCTTTTATTACTCGTTTAATATAAATGCGTTTTATCATTCTTGAAATAGTTCTTAAATCTTTCGAGTTCTAATCAAACACTCGTTGCCTTAAGACGTTGAACTTTAATGGTTAAGATTTATTAATAACTTTTTCATATCTCATGTGTTACGTATTTTTAAGATGATCGTGGTATTTTAATTTCATTGTAAAGCACTTCAATTTTTAAAGATCTGTTTTTACCAGGTATCTGAATTGGTTAGGTTGGGGTATGTACATTTTGTACAATAACAAAGATATACATATTACTAATTAATATTTCTAGATTTTATCTTTTTTTACTTCTAAATATTATTTTTTAAAATGAACGGTATACATTTTAATCAAATTAATTGCTTATTTTTCAATAATTTTAGTACATAAGTATTTTAAATAATTTTAGTAAAAATATCCTTTTTCTCTTAGTTTTATTACTTTATTATTTCCAGCCTGTTACTTTTTACTTTTTACCTTTGCAAACTTTCTACCAGTATTAAACAAAGAGTTATCGTTTTTACTTAGTGCAGTATTTTCTTATATAATTCTTTAGCCTTCCCGCGTTGATAAATAATCGGATAAAAGACAGATGTTCCCTAAAATAATTCTCTTATCTCATATATTAATACTACCCTGACTTTTTAAGCACTTTTTTACTTCATCGAGTGATATCAAAGTATGTACCCAAGTAAGGTGAATGTTCCATCTTACGCGTATTTATTCCACGCACAATTTTCTTCAAATTATTTCTTTTTAACCACTTATTAGATACATATATATATGATTTTATAGCATAATAATTTCATAATTAAGTTTGTTAATTTTTTACATATTATTCATCCAATTATCTTGATTTTATGTCAGTGTTAATAAAGCATCTTATTCTAATTCTTTACTGAGTCTGCACGTTAACTACAAGAACAATAGTGTAACTTGTCGACGAACTGTGTAATTATCTTTCTCTGTTATCTATTCTCAGCTTTATCATATTACATACGTGAGATGATTTTTAAAACAATGTTTTACTCATTACTAAATGCAGTAGCTCACAAAAGTAATCGAACACTTATTTAATAGAAGATTTCTATAAGTGTTTAGGACGATTTAAGTAAACAACTGTACGTGTTACGTATTTTCTGCAACCAAATGTTTGTATATTACATAGTATATTCCGCATTTCTCAGTCTTTCCCATTCTATCGTATTAATTAATCCTTCATGACCTACAACATCCTCATCTTTTTTTTACCAGTCGTAGGACAAGAAACAACAATGCACGAAGCAATTGGAAAATTACTTCAGTATTTACCTTCGATTTTTAAATTCTGCCCGAAATTTGACGCGATTCCTCGTGATGATGTACGACGAAAGTGACAAACTCTCTTCGGATTTCTTTGCCGATATTGGCTCTTTATTGAAGTAATATTATTCATTCGTTTTATGAAAGTTATTGAAGTTACTGACAATCTATCTTGGGCATTAAAGTCGACACTTGTATTATCGGATACGTCCGTATTCTCTCCACTATCTGATATGGAACAGCGCACGAGTTTATTGGATTCCGAATGTTGAAATTCTGCATCTTCGATTTCTTCATACTCATTAGTCATAATATTAGTCTGTTTATCCATTTCTTTATTATTATTTATAACATTGCAAAAGCAATCTCCTGATGCTTCTTTTTTATATCCTCTCCCTTTTCTATCTACAAATAACTAATAACTATTTATAAATAACTGATCACCGTGAGCAAGGTCTTTCGCTGCTTTTTTCATTTCGACTATTTTTCACCTGTTACGATATTGCCAAACGTCTGAGTACTTTCGCTCCTCTTCGATTCTTTGTCAATCCTAGTTCTTTCGGTTTCTACTTTTAACATTTTATCGTGGCAACCATTTTTCTTCGAGAATTCACAATCATTCTTTTTAGCCATATTATGTCCCCATTTAGCAGTCATCGATGGTGACGCCCAGTCAAGGTCATACTTAGAAACGTGCTTTTTGTTTCCAATGCACGTGTAACTATGCTTCTTAGAACCTGGAATAAAATTCCTTCGACTTTTTGTAACTGAATGTTTCGTAACGCAATCCCTGATCTTATTTTGCTCGTTCGAGGCTTTTTTACAGATACACGAGCGCGTGTTTCGACCAGACGTGTTTGCAGAGATTTGCTCAATTTTCAGATCAGGGCTATTACAGTAATAACACGTCAGTTTTAGTTCTTGCTTAGGGAAGATCGCGTCCTTTGTTTCTGTGCAATGGTCTAGTCTGTTTTGTTCCCCAAATTGTTTCCTCACCTTCTGCATACAAGTGTACATCTTCTGCTTTGTCCATTCATAATTTTTCTCTCGCTTCATATATACTCGTTGTTTATGTTTCGTGTACCTTTTTGGGTCTGGTGTACAAAAATCTAACTTTTTTTTCGGAGAAATTAATTTCTCTGGTTTCCGTTTGCAATAAATATTTTCGCATTCTTGACACAATACGCTATTCGACAAGCTCACATCTTTCAATGGACTCGTACAATTACGTAAACAATGTATACTTGAAAGGATATAACTATGTAGTATACAATTGCAACAGGCAATATTATTAGGATACATTTGGGTATTTACCTCTGTGTGTTTTCTGGAAAAAGATTCTTGTACTTCGCCAATTTTATCTTTTAGTATTATACTAGTTTGTGCAATTCCATCGGCTGCATTTTTAGAAGTAGTTTGGCCTTCCTTTTTAGTAGTTATTCCATTTCCTAAATCATTCTTTGATGCAAATTGCTTTTTATCGTTCAATTGATCCTTTTTGTGATGTGTATATTTAGAATGAGTATGCTTGTTAAGATTTTTATTAGAAATAATTTCTTGAGACTTAGGACGAGTTTTTTCTACAACAATCTCAGTACGTTGGTCACGTTTCACTTTTTCTGTAGGTTTCCTGCGATTCGATAATTCCGAGTTTTTCTTAAAGGATAACTGACTAGTGTATCTGTTTTCTTTTTTCCGGACTCCCTGCAAATTGTCATTGAATTTTCTCTCAATTAGCGAATAATTTGATTCTTGGTGTCCTTCTTGAGGAGGATCTTTTTTATCATCAATATGAACTTTATTAAATTGACACGGGACACCGCGTTCTATTTCTGCCTCGTCGTCTCCATCGTACACGCACGCAAATCGTGTAGAACAAATATTTTTGGTGCGAGAAAATCGCAATCGAGGATATTTACTGGACTGGCTTCGATGAAGAGTTCTAGTTTTCCATGGATCAGGAATTCCTTGTATAAAAGGTAAACGTGTATCGTTCCATAGCCTATCAGTGATGAAATATCTGGTACAGAAAGGTATTAAATTTTTCTGTAATACGTACGCCTCCGTACAAAATTCCTTACAAAATCCCTTAGCAATTAAATACTCTTTCCAAGTATCAGGAATACCTCGACGCACATTGGAATAATTTTCTTGTCGTTGATAAGACGAAAACGTGATAAATGGTTGTGTGCTCATTAATCTTGGAGAAGAAAATGGTCCTCGTACTACTTCATGGACATCGATATACTTTTTTTTTTTTAATCGTTTTGGTGATGTCCATTTTTGGGTCCATCCAGTGTAGATGTTAATACTGCAATCTGGATGCATCAAAACGATTCAATTCTTCCATAGGATCATTTGAAAACAATAGTGAATGCGTTACGATACGATAGTTTTATGCTATAAAGGCAATTATGTTATCATTTTTTGTAAATATTCTATCCTTTCAACTTATTTAAAATATATTCGACATACTTAAAGTATTAATATTATTTAGATTTTGTAATTTCTTATTTGATATGTCATTCTTGAAATTGTAAGTTAGATAGATATTGAAATATATATGTAGATATCGGATTTAATATTAACTTCACATGTAAATAAATCGCAGCAATTCTTATAATACTTAAAATTGGCAAATTAATTGGCGATTAAAAATATTATCATATACAAAAACATAGGAGAAAGGCATGATAGATCATATTTTTTGTTTTTTGTATGACAACGACTTTAAAATCCAATATCTTATAAACCAATCACATGCTTGTTGAATTTCTTTAAAAAATATTTACATTAAAAATATTGATTTCTTAAAAGTATTGATTATCATATTCTAAATATTAGAGATATACCATTAATTGTTTTCGGAAAAGCTCGTAGATTTGTCTTTTGATGCTAAAAGGTTTATATATATCTTTGAGCTGAATCGATTGATCCTCTTCTTAAGTATGTTATATTAAAGTATATCTCCTTAACCATGAAATAACATCAAAAGCAGAAAATCAACAACATTTTCTGTGATCTTCATAGATATAATCAATTATGACGCAAATTATTATTTTTAAAGTATAAGACTAATTAAATGAATATGATTTGTTGGTAGAACGAAATAGTAATAGGGAATCCTTTCTTGTTCTTATATATTTCCAGGCTGAAGCAGAGTTACCAACACTTCAGGCATACTCATGCGCGGCTTGAAATCGATTGTTTCAATAAAGAGTTGCGTAAAGTGTTAGCACAACAATGAGTTTCTTCTGTTAAACACGATGTCTCTACTACGATCGTTGCCTTCGGGGCTCAATAAAGCCTCGAAATTAACATTTCGAAGCGTTCCATCTGTATCTTATCATCCAAATGTGGGTATTTATTGGTTTAACTTGCGGTATTGATCTTGGACAGTTTTGACAGACGTATTGCATTACATTTTGCAATCAATATTGTATCTATTATTAAGACATATACACAGAAAGTTTGACCTTCATGTATAACATTGATGCAGTTATATCTTAAAAATACATTTTTACAAACCTAACAATTTACATATTATATCGATTTTATAGCATTCTACAGCATTTAGGTTATCTTCATACTTTATTGGTAAAATGACAATCATCTCTTCCAAAATTAATTAATATATTCGTTTGTTAATATAATAAGTATAATTAATAATTTACCAATTATTTTACAACATAAGAAACAAATAAAACATTAATTACGATAAAGCTTTATATCATATTAGCATCATATATATATAATACATGTATATAGTAAACTATATACAACTAGTAAAGTATATACATGTATTATATAACATATTTATATTAATTTTTATTTATTGTATACATATTATAATCATATTATAATCATATTTTATATTTTATATTTTGATTATGTTGCAGGTGATAGATCATTATGAAAATCCAAGAAACGTAGGTTCTTTGGATAAAAATGACCCCAAGGTTGGTACAGGTGTTGTGGGAGCACCAGCCTGCGGAGATGTAATGAAACTTCAGATTAAGGTTGACGAACAAGGAAAGATCATTGATGCTAAGTTTAAAACTTTTGGCTGTGGTTCTGCTATTGCTTCCAGTTCCTTAGCTACAGAATGGGTCAAAGGAAAAACTGTAAGCATTATTGTGTTTCCAAAAACTATTCGTTTAAAACAAAGGTAATTAATTGATTTCTATCATAGGTCGATGAAGCACTGGCCCTCAAAAATACTGACATTGCTAAAGAATTATGTTTACCACCCGTCAAGCTCCATTGTTCAAGTAAGTGGTATTTATTAATAAATTTAATATTTAAATATTAGAGTACGAGTAGAAAAATTGTGAAGACTGTCGTAAAGAAATAAATATCCAATAGTTTTGTAAAGTAAGACAAACTTAAAGTATCCATTTAGATGGAAGATTTAACAACTAGTTATCTCTACTCTGGAAGTATTCAGTATAATTAATATTGAGAAAAATAATTACATTATTTAACATTATTCTTTTATATATTGTAGTGCTTGCAGAAGATGCAATTAAGGCTGCTTTGTCAGATTACAGTATAAAACAAAAGCAAAAATTGAAAATCAATGAGAATAGTGATAAGACAAGTGAAGCACTATAATGTGGACTCTATCCAGATGTAGTATTCAGTATGTTCAGCTTTGCTCTGTTCTACTAATTATGACATTTACATAAATTAAAATGTTATAAATTAAAATCATATGTAGAAGCACTTATAGATGTATGCTATCTTTTCTTCTTTCAGAAAAGAAAATAAATATATTTAATTAAAAATTTTTTATTAGAACATTTATTTATATATCAATACTATCATGAATTTATCATTACCTCTGATTTCGTTAAATAATTTCATGAAATACCAATTACATCAAGTTTCGTATTATTACTTTGAAATGATCTTCCATTATTCTTACTCTTCAATTGTAGAAGTTAAGAAATGATACATCCAATGGGAAACTTTCTTACAATGCCGTTGCTGTTTATTAGAACAATATGCGAACAAATAAAGCAGCATGTCGTTGTGATAAACATTTTTGTTGACACGAATGCACGTCGTTAATGAAGTATTTCAGTGGCAATTTAAGCTGTTGACAGAAACATGCCTATTTGTACTTGTTTTTACAAGAACCCATTACGCCATCAGCGATGTAATAACGTAATCAAGCGAACAGGAGAAGGAGAGAGAAGAAGGGACAGATACATTTTATCGATAAATATTATTTTTTCAATGATCACAGTATAGCCCATTGTAACAGCTTCAATCTTAGATTCAACTTCTGCTGTGTATATTTGATAGAATAAAAATACGCACTTGATGATAAAAAAAGTCCTGATACAAAAGCTATATTTCACGGCATATCACTCAAGTAGAATCATATCTTTCTAGTGCATAAACTCATTTATTAAAATTTCCAGTATCTCGTGATTCATACACCTTGTTGTATGTATCCTCTAATATTCTTATACACTATACTATAGAAATATGTATGTATTTCCGCTCGTAAATATTGTACGTGATCAGTGCAGAATGAGAAGTATTGTTGCACGAAGGCATTTCAATTTCCTCATAGTCGCGATACACAATCAAATATTTACTCACATTCTTATATCTTTGTTCACATAGTGGAATTATATAGACTCACGGGCGAGTAATTTCCAAGAATAAGAGTTCGATTCGAAACGATTAAAATGAATTTGAGAAATTAAGTCTCGGATCGGTGACTTGTATGCATCCCTCTTATAATAACTGCCATCACAACACCAATTGATGCTTAATAAGAACGAATATAGACTGAGTCATGTGTAGTTACTGCTGCCAATTGTGCGTTTCAAGTTAATTCACGAAGGAGAACAATTAGCTCGTTAATTCGTAATTTACATTGTCTATGGCTTTTCATAGCTGCATACGATCCTAACATCTTGAGATCGAGATATTATCTTCCTATTTTATTCGATAATAGTTAGATGCGTGCCTAATATGTGTTTCCCCGCTATTTTTCGAACCGATAAATCAATCTCATTGAGAAAGATCGATAACAAAGATCGCTTATGAATACTTATTTAGACGTACTACAAAATGCGTAATTATATAATATAATTATATAATGAGAAGCATCGTGTATGTATTTTCGAATATTGGAAATTGTTCGAACGGGCTTATCAGAATTTTGTAGATTTAGTACAAATCTGTTATGCGTATGATGGATATATGTACCAACATATATTGTCAGATATACGCTCTATATAATGTGTGATAAAAATGAAGTGCCTGGCTTTATGTACTTGAAAAAAGTAGAGCATTCAGTTTGATTAAAAAAAAAGAGTACACGTAAGTGAGATAATTTATTCAAAATAATTATTCTTATAAAATAATAATTAATTTAATTATATATATATATCTTATATATAAACTATATACATGTATCATTTTTAAAAAACAGGAATAGATTAATTAATAGCAAACAGATAACATATTATCAGTATACTAGCATGTTTCACATAAATCATGAATGTATAAATTTAAGATTAACATAAAATTTTTCGGTATTTTTCTGCTTGTAATATCTTCGTTTGCCATAGCATAATAGATGCTCAACGAGGAAATTAAGTTGGTCTCGCTATCACAAATATTTCGTTCTAATTCTTTGAATAGTCATCATCAAATGTACGCACAATGGTTTCTCTGACAAACACACGATGCCAGCAGTTTGTGATATGACTGAAACGATAGAATCTTGTTTTTCTACGTAACTAAGTAATGTCACTATGTGAAAACTGTTTACGTAGACTTGCTGAAAGTATTATTTATTCCATGCATTTTTAAATGTTATAGATAAACTATAATTTAGATTATTTAAGTTTACCTGCAATTATATATGTAATATTCGCAGATTTATTAGTAAACAATTTTATTTTTAAAATTCAAATATTATCGCTAAGATGATAAAAAAATACATTTATCGATACTAGAACTACCAAAGTGGTTAAAATAACAAATTCCTAATTTTTCATAGAAATTTTGCGGTCTTACTACAGTGAATTTTGCAAGATTTTCTGTAATTATTTGTAAAATATATGAACGAACAGTTACTTTTATTCTGTATTTCTTTCATTTTAATTTTTTTGGTAAAAATTATTTATATAATATATATTATTCTTTATATACATGCTTACTATAATATATAGTGTAGTATATATAGTGAAGTATAATATATACTTCATAAAATAGTCGGTAATTCCAGTGTTAATGCCACATTACAAATTGCAAGGTATCCATTGTGTGAGGCGGAAAATCCCATGGAGTAGTTCATTGCAAACACACAGAAGGGATCATCGGGTAAAGGTTTTTGAAGAGGTGGGTAAACTCAACGATGAGCCGCTTCAAAATTTACCTTCTCTGTGATAAGCTGAAAGCCGAGGTCGTAAACAGTCTTTCATTCGGTATTCAGTATCGGGCACGAGGCTTATCGATGCTCGTGAAGCTTGTTTTTCCTACCTCGATTTCTCTATTCTCAAAGTGGGACGCGGCCGCGGGCGAGGAACATTAAATTCATGCTGCGTTCGCATCACAGAGGACAAAAATCCTACATTTGGTTCCTGTGACTCATAGAGTGAGTTCCTTCGCTATTGTGTATACCATGCTAAATTTTCCATTCCTTTATTCCTTAGTATACACGTCCTCTTTCTTACTGTACAGACCTGACCTGCAGAAGGTATAACAGAGCAAGATAACTCCATAAGAGAAAGGAGACGACAGAAAGAAAAGATGTAATACCTAACTGCCTTGCTAACTGATCATTGGTTGGGACTGAATCTGGCCAGTTAATATGATCTATATGTATATGATGAATTAAAAATGATTATGGTGTAAATTAAGGTTTGGAAAATTTAAATTCAGTCGCGTCTTTTAAGTTTTTAATATGTCATATTTTATCATAATATTTATTAAAATAAATATTTATTAAAATAAAAGCTTCTACAATTATAAGATGTCATGTATTGGTTTTACGGGAACAGTTGTGTGTATGTTGCACATATTTTGAGCCAACATTTCGTAGATGCTGCCAAAACCTGGGTCAATACAAAATACAACATATATACCATTATATAATTTTTGGCAGTAGTTTCATTAACAAACGTTCTGTTAATAAAAAGTTAATTCTCTGCCATAATAATGACATTTTTTATGATCAGATTTTAAGATGATAAAGACACAACACTGTTTTACGAGAACTAACAGTGATTTATAATCACATCACTATGATTCTCGGTCCTCAATATCAGGGATGAGTACAGAAATAGTACAATATCCATTATCAAATATGTACAAATATCCATTATCTAATTTAAGATACCAAGTTTTTAAATATATAATATATTTTGTTATATATATACATATATACATATATATATATATATGTATATATGTATATATATATATATGTGTGTATATAAACAGTTGAATATTAGTAAGCAAAGCAAGCCTAAGGTAAGCGAACTGAAGGAAATACCAAAAGTGTTCATACTAACTGACCACTTCGAACCCCACTTTTTCTTGGAATCGACTTTGTGGAGGTGAATATTATTTCTGGTGCTATGTACAATGACTTCAAAAGTATTTGCACATCGCTATATGTACTGTAGCATTTACATACTATTGTAATTAACCAGGTACGGTTACTAAATATTTACATTTATACTACATTTATATACTAATGAACTATGTTCAAGTATATTAAATTTTATCATTTAGTAATACTTTTATATAACTACAAAGATTTGATACTATAAAAATGAAATGTAGAACACTGATAAAACTACTTTGTTGGAAAATAAGGATATGTGCAAATACTTTTTGTAGCCACTGTATATAAGATAAAGAAATGTTATCCGTATCTTATTCATATTCATTCGAAAGAGGAAATAGATATATACTGGGTATTTCATAAAAATATATTTCCCTCGGTAGTTGGCCAGATAAGATCCCCATTCGTGGCCATTTAACCAAGAACTAGCGTAATCTTCCATTCTTTATGGAAATATGTATTTCTAAGAAATAGTGGGGATAGCGATGACCAGTTAGCAAAGCAGAATTCCGGCCAGTTATCAAGGCTACTCCTATACATGTTTGTTTTAAAGAGAGTGAGAGAGAAATACCCGTAGGCAAGACTGAAACAGGAGAATGTGGATATGGTGGGAGACAAGATGAAGTAGTGGTAAACGGCCCTGCGTGATACACAGCTGATCAGTCGTTCCGCGACGGACAAGTTGTTTTGATATCTCTATACGTGACTCGATAGTGCAAATCGAAGCGTTTTCTGCATGGAATGACAGTGAATCGTGCGTAAGAATATTCCGTATACATGCCATTGTTTATGTGCTCTATGCAATTTGAAGGAGTAACGAAAGCAGAAGGCACGGGCGGTGGTGTAACCCCAGTGAAATTATACAGAATATCATATTGCGGGTTACTGTTGGTGGCGTCGTCGAGTCAATTGGATCGCAGATACTTCCCGTTTCAACAATTTCGAAGGAAATCGTTTATGCGAACATCGGGGTCTATGACCGGTTCACGAGGCTCGCCTTATCAGAGAAACAGAAAAAGCTACGGTCTAACCGTGACCTCCAGCATTAGATTGAAATTGATGAAGTCCGAAGCGATCGAAGAGGAGGACACGACTGCTGATCCTGCAGTTTGTGAACATTGATGCTGGTCACTCATAGGCCACGATATTATCTATTCGGTGTAATTCGGTGCATTATCGTTTCTCTTTATATTCCTCTCTCGCTTATTTCTTTCTATTTTTTCTGTTAATTCCCGTGACATATTTAAGGCTTAATCAAGTTGAGTTATTAGCGCGTTTGAGTGCCGACGGGCAACGTTAGATTTTCTTTATTCGCAACGAAACAACGGATTCTCGTTTCGCTTTTCCTTTGTATAATTACATTCAGATATACATATATATTGTACATGTGTATACGCGCGCGCGCGCTAGTGTGAACGGAAAAGAAAAGGTTGATGACAATGCAACGAGTCCAAGATCAAGACAATGGTATCAACATCAAATTCGGTGCAAGCAAAAATAAGAAAGGAAACTATAGACTTGTATCGCAGCACTCTGAGAACGAGAAAAAAAGCAACTTCAATGGGACCAATAAACAAGGTAGGTCATTTACATTGAGAATCTACATTTTTATTTCTTTTTTCTTTTTTTTCTGAAGGGATCAATGTTCGCCCACTAATTATATGTAAATATATTAATTTACGAGTAAAAAGATAGGAAACGCAATAAAGATTCATTGTGATCTTTTTAAAAATCGTTTTTTCCTTCTTTTTAGCAATGACTAAAAATATGATGTGCACTGAAAATTTTAAATTTTCTTAACGAGTTCTAATAATAAATACAAATATACAATTACTGACGTTTTACGCTCCTTTTTCATATTTTGTTTAGTGTTACTATCTCTCCAGATAGTCATGGAAAATTTTCTAACACGAAATTATTTCAAATATGTTATAGTTAAAAACATAGTATTTTAATTCTATATAAAAGATAAGAACTTTTTAAATTTTTAAAAGAAATTTGATTTCATATATATAAAATATGCTAAAACAATAAGTATGAATCGAGTAAACTAACAGAATCTAGGCGTATATACTTATAAATAATAATAATATTCATAATTCTTTTTATTTAGTTAAAAATGTAACAACTGAAGAGGACCTAGTCCCACCAGATGGAGGATGGGGATGGCTTGTACTTTTAGCATCCGTTATGGTCAATCTACTTATTCCAGGAACAGTGAAATCCTTTGGTGTTTTATTTGTTGAATTTCTTGAAGTTTTTGATGCATCACCTTCTGCAGCTGCTTGGATACCAGCTTTATGCTATTTTTTGTATAGTTCACTTGGTAAGCTTAATTAAAATTAAGTGAAACTATTACCTAGTGGCAAACATTTGGAATTGAGAATAAGAAAATTAATTTTTGTTGTAGGACCCCTTTCCAGTGTACTATCAGTTAAATACTCCTATAGAACAGTGACTTTACTGGGAGGAACATTTGCTGCTGCAGGAATGATGCTAAGTTATTTTGCCAACTCTGTGGCCTTCTTGTGTGTCAGGTAATTATTAATATATTATTATTGTTATTAAATTAAAAGCATACTATTACATTTTTTATGTAAATATGTAATCTTATTGTTTGTTCAATCTTTTAGTTATGGTGTTCTGGTAGGAACTGGAGCAGGGTTATCTTTTCCCCCAACTGTGTATATAGTAACTTCATACTTTGTACGGTTACGTGGACTTGCAAATGGGCTCTGCATATCTGGTAGTGCATTAGGTTCAATATTTCTTCCACCCATCCTAGGAATTCTTCTACGAGAGTATGGTTACAGGTACGTTTTTTCGTTATGTATCTAAAACAACAACAGGTATGGCTTTATTATCTCTATGAAAGATTGTTTTATGATTGCTAAAAAACCACAAACCAAGGGTTCACTATAAATGATTAAAATTAAAAATTGAATTTTTCTTTTATTTCTATGAAACGTTTATTTAACAGCATTTTATCTGCAGAACAGTAATTAATATAATTTATTAATGATGTTTTAAAATTAATTAATTAAACGATGTAATTAATTAAAATATGCTTTAACACGTTCGTTTTATTTTTGACAAAATTGAATGTATCTGTGATTTGTGAGCTTGATTTGTCCAACTTTTATATAATTTGTGATACAATTAGTGTCACGAAAAAAAAAGAAAGAAAAAAGAAAAAGATACAAGACGTTTGTGTATAATCACGTGCATCTTGTTCTCATGAAGATCCGTAAATAAAGTGTTATTGTCTTAGAAAGTTTATATATATTTTGTGAAGATTATTTTCGGTGAGTATTTATACATCATTATTACAACTAATTAAATGTGACGATGATCAATCATGCATGTGTGTAGTTCCTTTTTACAAGATACTTGGATCAACTACGCGCGTGCATTTATGTACACAATTTTATTGTATATCTCTGCGAAATTTACAACATTCTATAGCTGTTTTATAGCCTCCTTATCAAATGTGTTGTCATTAAAGATAACGAACATTAACCATTCGATATACACACGGTAACGTTGGCTGTCAAAAAGATGATAGGCTCGCGACTAGTTGACGTTATTCTAATTTCAAAAACACGCAGAAATATTCTATGTACTAAACCCGAATTCTGCATGTGGAAAATGCCACATAATTCATCTGATATGGTTTAGGTAAGAATCATATATATTTCGTATATACATATATATACGTTTTTGTTCTATGCCACGTATTTTAATGATTTAAATTCCTATCACGCTTTTTTATCTTTCACCATTTCTACCAAACCAAATTGCCAGGCGTAATATATTTTAACGCTTGATTTTAAATTAGACTCAACTGCACCGAGACTACAATAAAAAAGGACGAAATAAGATCTGGGCCAGTATCGTGCAACCTATTGTGATGACTTTCTTCCACGATGATAAAGACGAGTTCCTTCATTGGGCGGTTATTTAAAGATCTGGATGCAATCCTTGTGTGTCGTGAAATTGCCATTCGCTTTAGATACTTAACTGCCGATGCAAACGAAACAGTCTGTATCGTAATCAAGTATTAGAATTAAAGTACCATCAGTTTAGCATAAAGTGTAATTCTTTGTCTTCGGAATACATGTGCACATAAAGAAGATAATATGCCTCTTTCTTTGTCTTCTTTAATTATGAATGATACGCTTCGTTTAAGAAAAAAATAACAAAACAGAAGGAAAAAGGTAGAGCACATGCCATTATCGAATAGTCGAAAGTAAAAAATTATAATTACACGTGCGTGCGTTTCGTTGTGTGTGCATATGTAATAATCATGTCCATGCGAGAACTGTGGAAACGTACGGTTTGACGTTGAAAGTACTTGCACATTTTAAGTGTGCACATTATAAATGGCGAACGCGTGATGCTCACGTGTTTCGAGTTAATATGTGTCGTAATAGCAAAAATAGAATTAAGATAAGTTCAATTTTTATGCATTTCGCATTGTTTAACCGCGGCTGTGTAATAGGAGTAATCAAAAAATTAATTTTGTTCCTTGTACTTTTGTATCTTCTTTTTTTCTGGTTACGTATTATATTTGTTTTAGAACCAAATACGTATACTGAAGTTCTTATTCTCTTCGTTTGGTTTTATGAATATACAATAATGTACATATGTATGTCGATAATATGTTGTCGATCGAACGTGAACATGTGAGTAGACTGTTTTTTTTCTCGATTTACGTGTATTAATCCTGCTACGATCTTCGAATATTTATATCTCGATCTCTCGTTTCTAGAAACAAAAAGATTTTTGATATTTTAGGAAAAATTTGGTGGAATTGAAATGAGGATAACGTTAATAAAGATTTTAATAACGATTATCTCACAATTTTCTTAAATTTGAAAAATTTTTAAGAATAAAGGAAACGATTGGGTTGAAAATGACCGAAAGACGTAGCAGAGTTAAATACAAAGTCGAAGTACGTATAAATTAATTAATAAATTGCGCCATACCAAATGTAAGTCAGTTTCAATATTCATTTCGAGATTGTTTCTTTTTTTTTAAATTCCAATATTTCTCTTTTTTTTTCACTTTCTCATAGTTTTACTTTGCAGCGACACGAAACAGCACGCGGTGTGTCTAATACTCACGTTTTACGTCGGAAGAACTTTAATCGTGTTGATTTAACACGCGTGTATCGAAACGAATATTTTAATCTGTGCCGAATGCTAATGTGGAATATATCGTTATACGTAACGAGTCTCAAAACGTAAACACAATTTTTATATTCTGTATTCGTACTATGATATATGCTATATACAATATATGTATATATATATATACGATATGTATATATATTACTACACCGATAGATGTAAGCTAGAACGTTTCCATTCGTCTAAACGTCCCTTTTATTTTTTCTTTTGTTGCAGAAGAATGTGTCCATGGGAGAAGACAGGAACAAATTGCGATTTCGAAGAAGATGAACTTCTCTCGTACCGCAGAATGTATTGTACGCGATCTGAAACGCACGCTAAAAATATAATTTCCATCTCAATCTATTTTAAAAACGAGAAAGGAGTAACACTCTTTCTTCCTTAGTATTTCTTCTTCTCTCGAAAACATTAAGTATTAGTTATAGAAGACTGTCGATATTCAAAGAAATATTGCTAAGCTCTCTGTTCGTTTATTTTTGTTTCATACTCATTGAATTCATTTTAATTCTATATTTATTTTATTGAAATATTTAAATATTAAATATTATTTTGTTCATTTATTCTTCGTTCATAAATAAAACAGTTTCAGATTGACGTACAAATTATCTATCATAGTCTGTTCTAACTGGAAACGGTGCAGACTATGAAACATCTGTATAATACTTAATGAATTTTTTATTAAGGTTATTTAAAAAAAGAGCTGTGATTAGTATAAGTCTTATGTATTTTGGAATATATAAGGCTTTGTCTGTAACACTTGATGGTAATTCACGAGATATATACGTATAAACCAGTATTGAAAAGATTATGTTAATGTAAAAGTTAGGAATATGTTATACTATATCTGTTGGTTACCAAAGATTATGATAAGTGAATCATTTAAGAGTATTAACAAACTGTACCTGATATTAATCTTTTGTATTCTCTTTTTACAATTTATATAGTATAAAAAAATATTTTATACATATAAAGTAATTATATATATAATAAAATAAAATAATTAGCAAGTACACAAGAAATACAATAATAAAGCGTTTTTACGCTTCTATTTATGATCTCTTAAATTATTTTCATTTCATTGCGTCATGAATCACTATATAGAGAAATATTTTTTTATTCTTTCTAAAAAAATTGATCATTAAATATTTTCAAATGTTTCCTATTCCATTCCATGCTTGCACAATCATTGTATTTCAGTGATTGATTAACAGCATAACTTAATTGAAATGTTCATATTTATATCACGGAAAAAATTTTAAACAGTTAATTAGCTAAAACTAAGTACCGATATTAAAGGATAAGCGTATTTGTTAAAAATCAGTATTTATGTAATTGGTTTAACGAAGTGACGATTTTTTTCCTCTCAACAGCCGTGGAATATCCCGATGACGATATTGTAAGCTATAGCTAACCTTATCGTTGGGCCGAACAAAAAGCGCTAAAGCTCATTTTACTTTTTTACAGAGGTGCAGTATTAATAATGGGTGCTGTTACTTTGAATGTATGGGCGAGTGCTCTTTTGTACGAACCGGTGGAAAGGCACATGGTACCAGCATCGTCGTCGAGCAAATCGAACGACGTCGACTTGGAGGCCGCCTCGGTCACAGTAGCTAGTCCCGAAGATGAGAAGCAATCGAATCATGTTGTTTCTTCTTCGAACGAAAACGAAAAAGCCGCGCCAATGGTACCAAAGAGTGCGTCCAGTGTCGCTTTAGAGTATTACAAGAATACGCCAGTTCAAGGTCGAACGAGAAAAATTAGCATGCCCACGGGACGGGAGATAACAGGCCAGATGCACAGCACTCCGGCGTTGCACGCTGTTCCGGAACGGGGCGGAGATTCTGCCAGGCTATCGAAACGTCAGAAATCGCCTTTACAGTCACCGAGCATGTCATCTTTTAATTATATCAGCACGCCGTATCATGGAAGCACGCTTTCCGCTATACATCCGGAAAGGGCGTCTACGTTGACCTTGAACGCGATATCGAGCACCTTCACGAGGAGGGGTACCGAAGAAACGAACAAGAACGAAGTAAAAGAGAAGAGGAACAAATTCTTTGACTTAAGTTTATTAAAGGATCCTATCTATCTGGTAATCTTGATTTCCAATTCAACGAACGCTGTTAGTTATACGAATTTCGTCATCTTGTTACCAGCGTACGCTATATCGTTGGGTTTCGACAAAAATATGTCTTCCCTTCTTCTTTCGACCGTCTCTATATTAGACCTGATAGGACGTATCGGAGGCTCAGCGCTATCCGATGTCTCGATCATGCCAAAGCATTGGTATTTCGTTGGCGGTTTGTTCATTTCTGGAATTTCGTTGGCTCTTCTCCCTATAGCCACAAGCTACACCATCCTGTCGGTTTATTGCGGTGTTTTCGGATTAGCTTCCGGTATTTACGTTGGTATCACCGCGGTTATAATGGCCGATATGTTAGGGACCGAGAAGTTAACTTCCTCGTATGGTATCTCGTTGTTCGTAAATGGAATCATACAGTTGGTTGGCCCTCCAATTTGCGGCATTGTATTTGAACAAATCGGCAGTTACGGGCCGATCTTCAGCATCTTAGGAATTATTCTAGTGGTAGGCGCGTCGTTGTGGGGTTTTGTTCCATTTATTAGGAAACGACAAAAAGTCGCAGAGAAAGCGAGTCCAATTGAAAAACTATAGTTTATGCACTAACTGGCATATTTCATGATGGACAACAAGAGCTTAATTATATGGTCATTGTAGAATTTCATCTAACATGTATCGATTACATACAATATATACATATAAACACACACACACAGTCACACACGCGCGCACACACACACGATAACGAGAGACATGTTTACGAAATACTGTGATGTTAGAATGAATGTTATGTATGTAAGTACATATATACTACTGGCACTGTGATGATGTTATATATATACATCCACGCGTACATTTTCAAGTGGATTGATAAGGAAACAATTTTCAAAAGATATATTTTTAAAAAAGACAAAGGTTCTCCTTTCTCGTAAATTGGAAGTGTCTTGCCTTACATTTGAAAAGAAAACTTATTTCGCGAAAGTAAGTTCTTATTAGTACTAAAGTAAAATATATGAATATATTTAAGTACTTAGTTTAGAAAACGTTCTAATTGCTGGTGCTAACGTAATAAGTAAAACAAAAAAAATGAAAGATGCAATAATATAATTTAACCCTTTCGCTTCGGCAGTCCAGTCCATAAATACGCACAGTGTGCGTGGTTGCTGTATATACGTTTGTCTAAGTCTTAAATAACAATAGTTCTTGTAAGAACCGTATATGAAATATCGTTTCACTGTCAATGGATTTAATAAATTTTTAAGATGAAACAGTATACGATCGTTTGGATGTTCGAAATATATTGCGTGAAACGTTTTGATGTTGTTGCAACAATGAGTAACTTTAAGAAGTGATTAATCCAATATGTCAATAAAATCAACAGAAAATGTTCTGCCGATAACGAAAAAATATATTATTGACTACAGATAGCAGTTGTATATGCATCATTTGGATGTCGGATATATGGGGTGCCGGACTCAGGAATCGTCGCCTATATGCGGTACTCGTACTCACAGATCATCTCGCGGATGCCGCTTATAAGCGGCACTTGAAGCGAAAGGGTTAATGCATATAAAATAATCTTAGTGTATGTATAATTGTATAAAGCAAAGGTTGAGTACTTGTACACTTCTCTTAAGGAAAGAATATACAGTAATTCCTATTGTTATATACACGTAAATATTGAATATAGGATCAGTCAATTTCGTTCTTGATTCAATTTGTTTACAACTCACCGAAAAATATGCCTTAAAATTAGGATATAAGCACTTTGTAATTAACGAATTACGTTTATATTATACAATATGTAAAATATAAAACGATACAAAATGCGCATATTTCACTTGAAGTTATCTTACACGGAAAATACATAAATTGTTCATGCTACTAGGGTCAATAAACAAATTACTAAAAATTTTCGTTGTCATACTTTGTATCTATTTTATTGAAAAGAATGCACGGTAGTATTAAATAAATATTAATATAAAGACTAACACATGTTTCTTTCGATACATGTTTATAACATACAATAAAAATGTAATTTACTTTTTATCTTTAGATGAATCTTCTTCCTTACTTTTTTCAGGTTCAAGACGAAAATTAGGGAATTGTTCCCATGGAGTGGATAATTCAAATTTACGAAATTCTTGTGTTAATTCTAGCGGTTCGCATACTATTCTCTTGTATTCATCATCATAGCGTACCTATATTTAAAAATATAATTTTTACATCATATATTATCAATTGAAGCCAAAGCATTTGTGAAGCATTAGAATTATATTATAAAATTACCTCAACAAAACCGCTTAAAGGAAAATCTTTTCTTAATGGATGTCCTTCAAAACCATAATCTGTGAGAATTCTACGAAGATCTGAATTACCCAAAAATAGTATACCATACATGTCCCACACTTCTCGTTCGTACCAGTTAGCAGCATTATAAATACCTTCTGCTGACTGTATAGGTGTCAATTCATCTGTGTATGTTTTTACCCTAATACGTGAATTAAAAGTAAAAGAAAGAAGATTGTAGACAACCTAATAATCAAAACATTACATAACTATATTTATTATATGAAGTATTATATGGAGTATTAATTTTAAAATACAAATTTACCTCAAATCTATATTTTCGAGAAGGAACATCTACTGCAGTTAGATCCGATAATGAAATGTACTGAGTATTCTGATGACATTTCAAAAAGTTTAGCGTTTGAATAATTCCTTGTGGACAAACTAATATTTCAAGTTCATCGCCAGCACTTATTTGAACCTTCTGCACATACTTTGGTAAGCATGCACTAATATATAAACCCATATCCTTTATGGCTTCTACATCTGTTCTGATTTTACGCATTGTTGCTGTTTAATAAAAGAAAGTTGTGTAAATGTAATTTAGAAAAAGAAGTATTAAGATTAAGGAAAAGGTTATAAAATATATATGATAAAAATTCTTTACATTTAAAAACATTACATTATTAAATATATTATAAATAACAATTTTTTACGTACGTTGTAATTCTGTTTTTTCAATTTCCGTGGTACTTGTTCTCATGAAGGGAAGAAATTTTGGATAACCTATCGATTTAGTTTATAATTTATTACATGATATAAAACAGAAAATCAAAGAATTATCAATAAAATTTATTTACATTTTGGTGTTGTAATAGATAGATTTTGTGACAGCCTCCAATAGTTTTTTAACAACGATGACATTTTTCTAAAGGGCTTCGAATCTTTTCAAGAATACAGGCAGATCCACCTACACTTAGGCGTATGTATGTAGATACGATATTCAGTACGCACTCTAGTTAACGATATCGATGTCTTTCGCGCTTTACATAGCACATTGAAATTTTTAAAGGTACTAGGATACTAAAAATATTTTTTTAATTCTACGTGATGAAAATAGCATATACAGTGAAAATATCAAATGTGATATAATTAGTAGAAACTATTTAGAACTATTTTATTCGAATTCATGTAGTTAAAAATAATAAACTCTGTAAAATAAAAGAAGAAGGGAAAGTTAACTAATTTTATTAGTTATTTACATTATTACATGAAATGTAGTTTCTTGAAGTAAAAAGGATATCTTACATCTTGTTCCTTATTTCTAATACAATATTGCACAAGGTTAGAGTGAAAAAGACTTATATTGTTAGTTTTCATATCACCATCAGCTACATAGAATATTTTTTGAAGCACATTGTTTTTCAACCTTTCGCATATCTACAAGTATGGTTGCTATGGCATGTCTTAATTGATGAAACTTTGGCAAAGATAACTCAAATATTTGACGCTTTCCATTACTAAATGTCCATTCCATTATAATATGTGGTTCCAAGACTCTATTTAATATGCTAAAAATATTCATATTAATAAGCAGATAATTTCTTAAACATTTATAGAAATATGAGTAAAATGAATTTTTGTATTACACATATCAACATTACAAAATTTATAATTTATTAAACAGGTACCTAGAAGAAATAGTAATATCTATACGCCACTTGCAGGCTATTAGGTGTGGATAAAATTTTGTTTTCTGTATTAATCCTGATATTAATTCTGGTCGCTTTTGACCATATACTACTATAGATAGGTCATCAATACATTCTGGAGATAATCTGTAGAAATAATATCATACTTACTAAAACAAAATTAAAAATAATCGAATGTAATATATGGTAAAATACATACTTCAGTTCTTCTAATATTTGTTTAAATTCTGCAGGTTTAATACTTTGCGATATTGTGCCCAAATGAATCTTTAATATTGTAAAGATGACTGAATAATATTCATCCACAGTTTCTTCTGGTATATTGTATTTTTGACTTATTCTATCTAATATTCCTTCCTCTATATATTCTTGATTTATTGCTTTTACAGCTACTATATAAGTAATAAATTGCGATTATTTATTAAAATACAAAATACTTGAAATATTGTAGTAGTATAGTGTTACAAATTAAACTTACTTTGTATTAAAGGACGAAGAAATATTTTTCTTAAATCCGGAAGAACCTTTATTTTATTTCCTAAAGCATACAAAAGTTGAGTTTGGAAGGTTGTCATTTTTATTTTGACTTTGATATTTATTTTATTTGTATAAAAATTGAAAAATTTATGTGACAATTTATCTGTATAGGTACATTTATTAATATCTTTTATAAAATTGTAAGAAGTTGTTAATAAAATACTGCAGGTCTGTCAAATTTATTATGTATTAAGCCTGACAATTTGTTTTCTGTGTTTAATGCCACCTAGTAGATATGTACAAAACTTTGTCTATGGTAATATGGTAATATGGTAATATGGTAATATGGTAATATGGTAATATGGTAATATTGTTTGATTAACAAATGGTGAAGTAGGAATGCTATAACAAATCGCAGAGGGCATAAGAGACACCGCTATATTTTCGTGGTCGATATTTCAGAACATGAAACATGAAGTCTCATTAATTGTTACGTCTATTCATGCCTTAGTCAAGAATATAATCTTCATCTTTGATATAATGTTAAGGTATATCCTATATTTACTATATTTAATCAATGAGGATGCCATTATAATTGATATCTATTCCGAGAAATATGGATTTTATAAATGTAGATAATATAGATTTCTCGATTTGAATTTTACGATAAAGTTATTACAAGAACATATTATAAGAAAGGAAGTATGGTATAAGTTTTAACTTTGTTCATATTATGTGTATAAAAGAGAAGGTATATTATCAAATTTTGTAAAACAATAGATTTTGTATATAATAAATAATTATGTTTTTTTTAAATTGCTAGATATGTAATGTTTGGTTATGTTCTTTCAAGGGACCGTGTGGCCTAATGGATAAGGCGTCGGACTTCGGATCCGAAGATTGCAGGTTCGAGTCCTGTCACGGTCGAAAGAAATTAATTTTTCTTCCCGTTCAATATTATTTTTGTATTACATATAATACATTGCTTTCGGTACAATGATCTCTTTACATCCTACATACATTATTTTTGGAAAAGAGAATGGGGAAAAAGATCAAACAATCAAGAATACTCATTTCTTGTAAATTACTAATTAATAATATTAGATCAAAATATGTTACTTCAGTGTCATCGAACTGTTATTAATAAACCTTTACATAAATTAAAAAAAATATTTCCTTCGAGCCGGATTTGAACCAGCGACCTATGGATGTCCATATTTTTAAGAAACCAACTACAGTCCACCGCTCTACCAACTGAGCTATCGAAGGTTTACGATTTCGTGGTGCCACAGAATTGTATATGAGGTGAATTAATGTATAAATATTAGTAATTTAGTTTTTTTTTAATTATTTATATAATATATTTTATGATTAATGTTCTTATCTCATTTAAATATTAAATATGATTAAAGATGTAGGATTTAGTTTTATTATGAAACACAAAATTAATGAAAAATTTAAGACATTTACTATAAGAAATTATTTTTCAGGTATAGAATCAATGTATAATGTAGTAGAAAAAGCAAGGGATAACTTTTTTGTTAAAGACTAATACAAAATAATATGAAATAATGTGATATTTAATTCTTTTTCCGTTATTATAAAACTAATTTTAAATTCTTTGGTGACAAATACGCGTTTGTAAACGCTGAACGTGATTCTGAAACATTTCATTTGGTAGAGGAAGATAGAGGAATAAATATGACGCACAGATGATACGAAATGGTTTTCGCATGTCCTGACATTATTACGAATACAAAGATCGAAGATATTTTTTTGAGATATTATATCAGATTTTATATTACTCTGGTAAAAGTAATATGGACGTTTCGTTACATCGCAAAAATAAGCGAGTTAGCATTACAGGTTATGTAATGTTCATAGAAAAATTTATTGAAAGAAAAGTTAATGAATATGACTTATAATGAAGTAATTGTTTACTTTTTTAATTGGATTTGCCAAAGTTATAATTCAAGTAAATTTTCTGCTTAATAATGGTTTACTATCTAAAACAATATTATATTTGCTGCGGGTACCTTTAATGTCCCGTCAATTTGGAAAGAAGGAGGTCCTTCTCAAGTAACTAAAATACCGCTGAGTGGGAATGTTAATTTAATTACCAGTAGCCAATTAGCAAATTATTATCTGGTTATAATAAGTGATAACACATGATAATCTGACGGAAATTATTTTCACATCATGAAAACGAGCCATTAGTGGTTCGATAATTATCATTCGATAATTAACGTTCGATTATCGCACCGTTATTTATTGATTATGGGGTTTTAAAGAATATCGATTTTCAGTTATTTCATTAAAATAGATTGAAAAATATAGTAAATTATAAGCATATAATGAATAAAAATATTAAACAAAATAAAATCATCGGTATATTGAGTTAAAAATATCTAATTTAGAAATCAGTAA